AGCATTTACAACATCACTTAGTATGTGGCATTCATATTATAATGAATCTGAAGATGAAGATACATGGATTTTCTTAATTCAAGATGCTAGTTTTTCACTATGTCAAGTAAAATTTCTTTGACTTTTTAGTTTTATTTAATTTTAAAATAATGTATTTGTTTTTTATTCTCTTAAGAACTTCTATGATATTTGATTTGCAGATGAAGAATGGAAATATTTAAAAGATAAACATACAATTAAAAGTATAATTTATTAATTTTCGCATATTAAAATATTGAATTTTATTCAACCAAATATTAAATTTGGAGAATTTTAAATTGAAAAATTGATATTTATAAAAAAAAATAAATACATAAGAAAAGTGTAAAATAAAACATTGTTAAAATTCAAAAAAAAAATAAAAATAAAAATTGTTTTTTTGATGTCGCGTATACATATATTCTTCAACTTTCTTCTGCCATTAGAGCTTTTGTTTTTCGAATTGAAGACACAACTGGATGTTTTGATGATAATGTATGGCTAGCTATTTCTTCTGCTCGTTTTAAATATTTTTTTGCTTGTTCAATATTTCCTAGACGTGTTTGAACAACTGCAAGATTATGTAATGTACGAGCTATATCTGGATGATCACTTGATAATAATTGTTGTTGTAATTTCAATGCAATTTCATATTCTTCACAAGCTTTTGAGTAATCTCTAGAAGCTAAATAAACGTTACCTAAATTAACTCTTATTATTGCATGATTTGGATGACAAGATGGAAGAGAACTATCATAATTTTTTTTTGCTTTACGATATTTAACTATTGCTTCATCATACTAAACAAAGCGCAAAGAAAAAAAAAGAAATTTAGATTTATTTGAAAATCTCTTGTTGTTTTTATCGTCTTACGTGCTGTCGATCACAATCAATAGTACCCAAATTAATTAATGTTCCAGCAATATCAACATGTTTTTTTGGAATACTTTTTTTATATAATTTCATAGCTCGTTGAAAACATTCTTCTGTTTTTAATTGTCGTCCTTGTTCATTATAAACAATTCCAAGACCATTCAAAGTTTTTCCTGCACTTGCTAAACGTTTTGGTCGAGCACTCATATGTAAATTATATGTACGATTATAACAATTTATTGCACGATTAAAATCACCTTTTAATTGATGTGTACGACCAAAATTGAAAAATATACAAGCAATTTCTTCATCATTTGGATTTGAAGAATTAAGAATTGTATCAAAATATGTTTCAGCTCTAGCATATTCACCCATTTCAAGCAGTAAATTACCAAACATTAGAATTATATTTGATTTAACTATTTTTTTCTTTTGATATTCCATATATTTAGCAGCTAAATCGGCACCTTGATCAGTTGCATGAACTTGAGCATGCCATAAATCTTCTTCGACATTGTATTGACATGAATCAATTTGAAAAACTGCTTCTATATAAAAGAAAACAAGAAGTTCGTTTATAAGATATTAAATTAGATTATACAATGAAAGAATTTTGCAGTTTTGATATTCTTTTTCCATGCAATAAAAGGTATTTATTATGTATTATGACTATGATCATACAGAAGCTTCGCCACGTTATAATCAATCGTGTTGTTAAAGAACGTCATCAATTAGTAAATAGAAATGATTCATAATTTTATACATATGTGACTCTTGTCATATCTGTTTTCTTTTTATTATATCAATGTCACGTATTTCTTATATTCTTTTTGTTTGCGTGTTTACTGTAAACATAGTAATATGATGTAATTAATTGTTCTTTTTCGGATAGTTATAAAAAGAAATAGTCATTGGTTTACAAACTGAAATTTTACTAACGATGATACTGAGCATGACGACTATAAATCAAGATAGTCAAACAAAGAAGCATATTTACTCATAGATATTGAGAAAGTTTATTAATGATGATATTTTGTCAAAGAAATTTATATATCATATTAAAAAATGCAACGTATTAGTTGAGAAATCGACAACAAAAGAAAAAAAAATGTTGATATCAATATAGATGCAGGCGATAATAGTGAATAACTTTAATTAAACACAATCATTGAAAATAGAATTTCTAGGTTTAGTTAGTAAAGCACTTGATAGACACTAAGGATACTACTTTTCTATATAAATCCATTGTTATCTATTTGAAAATACTATGTCACACATTTTGCTTACAATTTTTTTAATAAATTAATTTCGATAATCTGTTAGTAATATTATACGATTACATTGTCTATAGTATTCTCTATCAAACATCCAAATATGATGATAAAATTATGAAAATTTGTTTCAAAAAGAAAAGTGATTATACAAACTATTCCTCAAATTGAATTTGAGACCAAAGTACTTCTAGATGATTCTTTTCTCATAGATTAGAAATTATTTTTTTGATTTTTTTAATAATCACGTTATTCAATGACAAGAATAAATCTTCCAATTGATCATTGAATTATTCAAATTAGAATTAGAAAAAAGATCTTAACATAGAAAAATAAACTTTTCTTACCAATATCAACTAGAAATTCAACTTGTTCAGAAAATGTTGAATATTCTCGAACATCAGCAATAATAATTGTTTGAACAATATTTAAATCAACTTGATATTCAAATAAAACTCGTTCAAAACCATCTCTTTTACGTGATTTTATTGCAAAATCATATGCAACTGAACGTTGACTACTTGTTGATAAATATTCATTTGTTGATATTAAATTTCCAATATTTCTTTGAAAATTTTCTACTTCATCACGATTTAATTGTGAATGTCGATAAAATCGAAGAACATCTTTCTGTTTTTCTTTAAGTTCTAAAAATTTCATTTCAAGTTGTTCACTTAAATCCATAATATAAAAACGAAATTGATATAAAACACTAACATCTTCTGTACGAAGTACTTTATTAATAAATCTAAATATAAAAGAAACATATGAATAAATTTTTTTTTTGTATTTTTAATAAACTTACTTATTAATAAATGTATCTTTTATAAACCATGGTATATAGCATCAGTTGATTTATACGTTCGATCAAATTCATCAATATTTGCTAATTCAGTTAAATTTCCACGATAATAATTTCGACATGTTGTAACCATAGTTTTTTTGGCTTCACTTGTTTTAGGCATATTTTTTAATATGCTTTTAAATAATTCAAAAAATAAAAATGAACCAACTCCTTTTGAAAGATCTCGTGTTGCTTTGTCTTTCTTATTATATATACTCAATGCAACTATGTGTTTATCAAGTTCTTCACGAGATTTTCTTATACTATCTATAAGTGTTTCTGCAGTTTCACATAAATAAACAAGATAACTATGTTGTTGTTGGCTAATATCATCAATTGAACCAGATGCTGGAGAATAAAAAAATACTGAATCAATTTGTTTCAATGGTTCAATAGCTGCAAAAAAACTCGTC